GCTACTACTCCCTTCGGAAGCTCTTCAGTGTTCATCTCCTCTTCAAGAGGCGAGAGATGTGATCCTATACTGTCTATAGGCCCTAGTATAGGTAGGAGCTCCTCTTCTACTGGTATGGGGCGTAACAGCGCTGCTGGGTACTATATCACTACGGCAACTGGACAGAGCTTGCCTGAGGAGTAGGGGATGGACTACACATGCCCATCATCATAACCATCCGATGCCTCTCCATCAGGCGGCTTATCACGCCGATATTCCCGGACGTTATCCCCGTTATAGTGGAGGGCTCACAGTCCTCAGATCAGGAAGCTCGTGACTACCACCATCTGAGCGTTCCTGAGGATGCCTGGGACGCTGAGTCGTGCAGAGTCAGCAGCTGTTGGTAGTGTTAGTTATGGGAAGCATAGGTCGTCGCTCAGGACTATTCCAATGATAACCTCACTGGAAAGAGTATATTCTTCGGTCACCGAGCATCTGCTAATGTCGTACTTGTCATTGGTGGAGGTAGATAGCCCATCGCCGTCAATACCCCCAAGCCCACTGTCTGTGTAGATAAGCCTACTACTCTACACGCCCATTGGGAGGTTCTATGTAGTTCCTTCTTGTATTTCCAAAACATGAAGGACAGTCGAATGAGGGAGTCCGTCGAAGGCATTGTAGTAACATTATGGATCCTCTTTTTGTAGACTGCTTTAGGCTTACTTCCCGACCGATTCCCCTCGGGCATGGCTGACCTTGCTTAAACGAGTGTAAGTAGTAATTAGGTAGACTCTCATTGACTTGGTGCTCCCCCTAGGTATCCTCCTTACCGTCAGTTGGGGTTCGTAGAAGCTGTAGAAATCATATCATTGGTTGATCGATTACAGACCTCCTGGCTTTCACGAGAACTGCAAGAAGTCGGCCTGGGCGCTCCCAAGCTCATATTCGTTTAGTTTGTCCGCAATAGGTCTTGTCTGATGAATCATATGGTGAACAGCGTACTCCTGGCATCGCGGATATGTTGGCTGCGCATGGCCTCTCCGATGTGAGCCAGAGACTTGCTACTCATGTTGAGAGTGTTGAACGTACCGATAGGTTGTCGCCGCTTGGTTCAGTGAGAAGTATTGGCCTGCACTCAATGCGTGGCGATGTGTCAGTGAATGCAAGGATGTTAAGGCACTCCGTCGCGCTGCATTGTAAGCAGAGGGCTGTGAAATTGCGTAGTGTGTAGTATAACGAATAGCGTTTAAGCAACTTTCGTTTCTAAGATTTGGCCTGGGGACAGGAGTGATGTATAGAATCCTATAACATCTTTTGAAATCGCCACATGCCTTGAGAGATGAAGGAATGTGAAGGGACCGTGGTCGTGTACCGAGCGTATTCATTGGAGCGTCGGCTCTGTGATTGCTAAAAGGAGGTGGACAGGTATGTGTGCCATGAGGCGGCGTCGATGAAGTCGGAAGTAGAGCAGTTGAGGAAGACTCTACGTGATGTTAAGATGGAGTCTAGGGGACGACAAAACAGGATATCTAGGATGAAGAGTGCCGGTGAAATATTCTATTCGTGATATGATGATACTCGACCTAATCCCGTTGAGAGGTCCTCATCACGAGGATATCAGTTTAGTCATTTCAATGTGGTCGGAGGGTGTTGTTGTTGTTGTCAATTGATCAATAGTGAAAGTGATTGAGTGCCTGCATGACCTCCTCGGGAGCCACTGAGCATCCACCAAGTTTTGGTGAGACATTGCTGCTAGCTGGGGTGATA